ACAATGAGCGCTTTTAATTTATAAATATTAATAAATATGTCGTACCCGTTGGATTCATACTAATAATGTACAATCAGCCATAATTACATTGATATAAATTATTATGTATGTAGATAGAGATGTTTCAAGGTAGCATGGACTTAAAAACATATATCAAGGTCAGATCAAGAAGCTGGAAACTTAAGGTATTTGGTAAAATTAAACATTTTATCTGGAGGTGCTGTAATGGATCTCTGCCTGTGAATCTGAATTTGAGAGCCAAAGGCGTTGGGGGTGGATCCTATCTGCACACTTTGTGGTGAGGTGGAGGTGTCCATAGAACATGTTCTGTTTCAATGCAGTTTTGCTCAATCAGTTTGAAATTGGCTCCTCTCAGTTGGGTTGGGCCTCAGGGAGCAGAGACTTTTAAATCTTGGTGGTGGCAGATTTGCAATTGGACATGAGTGAGATTTCTGAGTCAAGGATACAATTTTTGATTTATATACTTTGGTGGCGTTAGAAGTCTCACAATCTTGGGGTATTTGAGCAGATTAGAAGACCTGCACAGATTGTCATCAGAGTAGCAATCCAGGAGTGGAAGGCTTATTTGCAGAGCAATAGGTGTTAGGTCCTTTATTTGATTTCCTTTGAGTTCTGTTTTTGGTCAGGTTGGTTTCTTTGAGTTGGTTAAGGGATAAAGGTTCAGTTGAGTGTAACTGCTTTATCCCTTTGGCTTGTTGTAATTTCTGTTTTCTTGTCTTTGTTTGGTTCTAGCCGACGTGAGTGTGGTGCGCCCATTTTTCGGCTATGTGATTTGTATTAAACTTTGATTTTTCAGTTGGTTATGAGCATGTTCTATAAGTTGAAAAAAAAGGCCGAGTCGGGCTGGGTTTCAAAACAATGTTTTAGACTGATTTATTAGCAAATGCAATGATACTCTACCCACTTGACTTCCAAGTTCCAACAAACGTAGGGTAAAATATATAAGACCCCCTTGTATTATACGAAATCTGCGCGTTTTTCCCCTGTATTTTAAAAATTGCGTCAGACCCCCTTCTATTAAGATTTTGTATGCGCGAAACACCCAAAATTTAGACGATTTTGGGTGTTTCGCGCATACAAAACCTTAATAGAAGGGGGTCTGACGCAATTTTTGAAATACAGGGGGAAAACGCGCAGATTTTGTATAATACAAGGGGGTTTGGTGCATTAAACCCAACAAACGTATATAATGGTACCATTAAATAGGGTTTATTGCACCAAATCCCCCTGTATTATATGAAATCTGCGCGTTTTCCCCTGGTATTTCAAAAATTACGTCAGACCCCCTCGTATTAACTAACTTTTGCACGAATCCCCCCTGTCCGTCCAACTTCACAGCGCGTACAGCACACATTCATGTAATGCTGCAATTATTCAATTTTTTCAAATATTTTTTATTTTAAAATTAAAATTTACTATTTTGCCCCTTGCTTGTTGGGCAAAAATTGATGTTTGGCTGCTCCTCATAGGATTCGAACTTGGGTCAAAACATCACTAGCCAAGACTTTAAACCACTGTGCCACTATCATTATATTGTACAAAACTAACACACATTTATTTAAAGGAACAGGAACAAGAAGAAACCTTAATCAAACAAAAATAAAAAATAATATAATCACAAACTAAATCATTATAATAAAATTTAATTGAAATAAAATAATAAAAAATTATATTAAATGTGAAGTTTGAAAATAATAAATGAATATATTACTATTTAATATAAAAATTAATGATAGTTAAGGCCGTCGGACGCGCTGATGAAGGATCGTGTGTTACGTCTAGCTCGACTTGCTCGAAACCCGCGCCGACGCCTTGGTCCCTTCGCAATAAGTTGCTAATACGCGCGCCGACGCCTTCGTACTTCGCGATAGGTGTGACGAAACTCGGATGTTGGTCCTATTTCTATCACTGTGAAGAAACTCGAATGTTGGTCCTATTCCATTCACGAACTCTATGTAAACTCACAGGAGAAAACACACGAGAACTTTGAACACAATGTTCGACTCTTTTCTATTCACTCA